ATCTTTTGAATATACGTTCCAAGAATTCACAAGTCGGAATTCTTCAAGCAACGAGTTATGAGTCATATTATAACCTCACTCAAAGAGTTCGAACCAATGTTCATTACTCACTTGGGATAATGAAGTTATCACCACTTCTACCAACATTCACCTATTTGTACCAAATGCGAGTTTTAATAGTAGAAGAGATGGAATTGTTACCATTAGATGAACAGACGTGGCCTCCTTTGACATTCGACGCGCCTTTTTATAAGCATCATGCCATCAGTCCTAGGCTAAGGGGTATTAAATGGTAGACAAACAAGGGCTAAGAGATGAAATGATGGTAATCCTTTGTTTATTTGCTGTTAGCATGCTCAACTATACACATACCTTCTTAATACATATGTTGTGGATTTGCTGGGAAGGTACCTTTTTTTTTTTGGTCCAAAATTAAAATATGTGAATCGGCTAAAAAATCCACGAGGTACAAATTAAGCACCTGTTTCACAACCATTATTTGGGAAAACAATGGTCTGAATAGTAATTTTTAGAAGAATGTGTGGTAAAATGTAGGAAATTTTTTTGAGTTAACGTGCTCAATATTTTATTGTTTGAATGTGTGATTAAAAATGAGTATATTGAAAAAAAAAATATGTTTTCAAATAATGGTTCTCAAACTGGGAATTGTCATGTCTTGACTTAGATTGTGGGAAGCAAATATCTTATGTTGAGCTATCAATACACTAACACCCTTGATTTAACTCGAATATTGTGATATCTTATCTTAACATGTCAAAATATAATCAGATCTTGTGCAGATGATTCTCTAGGCAGCATTGGTAGTGGATATGCTTACAATTAAGGTTTATTGGAAAAGTGTCGGTAGACATTCAAGTTTCCTAGACTACGTAGATTGGAGAGAATGTATATGACATGTTGTCACGTAGGTACTAAAATTGTCCAAAATAAAGATATAGGAATTTCGGTTAAGAATTTCACGAGGTACAAATTGAAGGTCACGTTTTGCATGTTAGTCTCTTGACTTGGTTAGATTTTGGGAATCAAATACCTTATTTCACTCATAATATTTCAGTTAACTCATAAGTCAATGGAAACTATTCTCTAATGTTGTTGTGAACTTTGACATAATGGGTTTAGGGCACCTTTGGTATACCATGTAAATAAAACATATTCTTTGCATGGCTACACAACTTATTCTCCATGTTCTAAAAAGCGCCAAAATGCGCCGCCTAGGCGCGATGCGGACCTAAAACGCGTTGAATTCGAGAAATGCGCGAAAAATGCGTTTTCCATTTAAAAGGCGCCCCTAGGCGTGCATTATCCCGCCTAATTCCTTTTTAAATTTTTTTTTNGCATGCCTATGCGTGTATTATCCAGCCTAATCCCTTTTTTAAATTTTTTTTTTTATGATATATTAAAAAATCTATTTTTTTATATAAAAATATATTTAATACCTTAAAAATACGAAACGCATTATGACGCTTATTCTTCGCACTGACACGCCTAAACTTGTGATTCTTGATTTTCGGTCTCGACGCATCGCTACGCATTATGCGTTTTAGAACGCTGCTTATTCTACCACTTGAAAAGTTCCAAAACGGTGGAAGCTTTGGTAATGCATTCACACTAATTATTGAACTGTCCCAAATGCAATGAAGTCAACTATTTTGGGCAAACTCCTCAAAATATCTACTTGATTTAACTAAATATTCAATATGTCTATTAAATAATTCACCCACAGCTACTATCTATTAAATAATTCATCCATAGCTACTATCTATTAAATGCTTATGAAAAATGAAAATAAAAAGAAGAAAAAGTAATTTATTATTTAAAAAAGAATTGAAGTAATAAATGATTACTCGAATAGCATAAATTAAACATATTATACAAAGTTGTCGAAAATTAAGTACAATTTGGGTCAGATTGAAGCAGCAGAACAAGTTATTTCACAAACAAAAGAAGCATTTAAGTAATAAATGATTACTTGATAAGAGTAAATTATCCAATGATACGTGATTTTAAAATAATTAAATACAATTTTGTAAGAGTGAAGCGGATCAAAAAAGTAAGTTGGAGATAGTTTCTACTTTCTACTATCAAGGAAATTTTTTATATTGAATAGATATAAAATTATTAATTAACGTATAAGTGTTTGACGTATTAAGATGTAATCACAAATCTTCGTAACCACACATTTCATAGGTTAGGAACTACCCAGGCTCATACTTTTCCAATAATTAAGCATAATTGGGTTATGATGAGAAACCTAGGCTCAACTAATAATGATCGAGGATTTCAAAAAATACAGTCTACTTGAACCCCTGGTCTCCAAACTGAACGGGACAATAATTCCTCACCACGTTGGTTGGCGTATTGAGTTAAAGGTAGGGCTGTAAATGGATCGGATACGAATCCGATCTATCTATATCCGATCTGATTTGATAAGAAAATTATCTGATCCGATCCGATCCGATAATCCAACGGATATTTGATTGTTAAATCCATATTCGATTTGTTATGTTATCGGATATCCGATCCGATATTCCAATCCAAAATTAATAAAAATTAGGGAAAAAAATGATTTCATGTTCTTTAAAAACTTTGAACTAACTTGAGGTCTACATGTTTTTAATAGCAAACCCAATAGTGACTTCTATCATTATGATGTCCCTTTTTAAAGGAGAGATAATTTTCTAGTTTTCTATTGACATTCGATGTGGGATAAAGTAAAATTAAATTTCAATATTAAATATAAATATTTTATTTGATTATTTCTATTAATAAATCAAGTTATTTACATATTAATTATTAGTTTTTTAAGTTGTAAAATAAATTTAATTCAGAAAATTATAGATATTTATTTACTTTAAATTAGTAAACTAAAATTAGAAAAATATTGGTAGAAATCAACTTTTTTTTTTTAATTTTCCAATTCTTAAACAAGTTTAATAATTATAAATTTTTTT